TGTTTCATTTTGAATCTGAACTGTGGAACTTCACTGGCATCAGCTGAATCTCTAGTTTGGACCAGTTCATTTATTTCACAAAAGAAGCCTGATTATTATCTAAGGCAGAGTTATAACTTTGAGGTTGATCAAAAAGCTCTTTTCTAAAATGACCAGCTTTTCCAAACATTTCCAAATAAAAGATTCTTATATTGTACTAAAATATACTCTTCAAGTTTAAAAGTAAAACCATTAGGAAAGAAAAAAAAATGTTGTTACAGGAAAATATGTATGTTAAATCTAGATCAACAGGTCTGAATCAAAGGCTTTCTGGTTTTTGGATATATCAGGATAGACTACAGAACACACTTCTCCTGTACAAATTCACATATTAGCAGTTTTTAAAGCAGGTGAACCCTTTCTTGTACCTTTTTGCTTTGGCTTTAGAGGGTCCATTATCTGCAATGACATTGTGTGCTCTGCAATTAGGGAATAAAAGCTTACATGCATCTTTCACCATGTAAAAGCAAAGAACAAAAAGAGAGAAAGGAAGAACTAAACAAAACCCACACATAAAAAACGTGAGGGAACAAGAAGTACTTGAAGTCTTTAGTTCTTGCAGTGTTCTGCTGCTTTATATTACTGCAGCTGTGAGAGCATCCAGGGACCAGATGGTAACATTGCTAATCCAGGGTGACTTGCCAGCAGCTTCCTGCAGGTGCAGGAGGAGATTGGTCGAAGGCTAATGTAGTCTGTTTGTAATGTCATGATTTTCTGTATCTAACCCCACTGACCTCTGGGTGGTGAACATCACACTTCCCCTGGGTGACTTGCTGACCCAAGAGTCAGAGTTTTGTGATTTCAATCTAAACTCTTTTGTTTGCGGTTCTTTGCCTAAACCACCTTAAAGCACTGTACAGCCTCTGGAGTAAAAAGCTGTGTGGTTTCCTATAGGTGTTGACAGAATAAACTGGAATTCGCTTTTCCTTTAATTAATATCAATTTGAAAACGTCCCAGTTAACAAGAGGTTAAAAATATCTCTTGGCTTTTAAGTTTGCTGTTGAGATACAGTCTTTATACTTGAGCCTTTGTCATATCATAGGAGCCCTAGATAATTCAGGTTGGAAGGCACTTAAATGGACCCTTATCTCTCAAATAAGGAACATCTTGTTTTGGTTTTTTTGGTTGGTTGTTTTGTTTTTTTAAACTGATCTGGCTTTATCAGCATGAGAAGAGATCACAAGCTTATGGAAACTTTAATCCCAAACTTTTAACTGGTTCAAAAACATTAACTGAAATAAAAAATTAAAAAAATAAGCATAAATAGGTTACAACTATGAACATTAACCATATACGTATTACTAATCTCCTTGCGCACAGAATAGGAATTAGGACAGAGTCATTCAACTTTGTTGTAAAAATTTCATATAGATAGAGATATAGATAGAGATCAGGTACAAAACCAGGTAAACTTCTTTTAAGATACATACCCGTGTGTATATCAATTTTTTCACAAGTGTTATGTGTAGGAAGTTACTAAAGTCTAAGTCATGGCACATCAAGACCTCTGTTTCAGAAGTCAGATGTTCAAGTACAGTGCAAGTAAAAGCTGAGAAGTTGGTAATGAGTTAATTCTGTCTGCTTGATAAAATGTATTGCATGCTGCTTTCAGATGGGTGCATGTACTTAAGTAAATTACACTTTATGTTGCTTGAAAGTAATGAATGCTAATGACAGATAATGTTGTTTTGTTTCCAATTAGCACTGCCAAGAGAGTCACAGTTTTCTAGAGCTCATGATCACTGTATTTTCCAAGAACAGTCAGAGAACTATAAAATTATGTAAACAAGTTTTATTTATGCTGAATGTATTTCCTGATTGTTTCTCTCTCAGTCGACCATAATGCAAATGCACTATATCTCTCTGTAGTTTAAGAATTAAAAAAAAAAAACCACCTCATGTTTGTAAAGCCATATTCTATCAAACATTTTTATAAACATCATTCATTGTTCAGTTTGCTAAAAAACAGAGGAAAATTTTTACAACTAAATTCATGTAATAGATTATAGTGAATATTCAGAGAGGTTTAAAATAGAACAGACTAATGGATAAGCAGTCTGGCTCACAAAATATGAGTTTAAATGTGGTATTTCATACTAAGAAATAAGTTTTCTTCACTTAGGTATTCTTCAAAACACTTTCTAATGTGAGTTGGCAGAGAATTTGAAATGCTATTTTGGCTCAGATCTATGCAAAAGATGACTTATTGAGGCAAATAAAGTTGGAGAACTTAGATGACAATCGTATTGTTCTATGAATTATGTGTTTTCAAGAATGTTAGTATTGTGCTCACAGACATCAAATATGCAGTATATAGCAAATTACTTCCTTTCTACTGTTGCAATATGTCTTATTTCTTATTTTATAATGGTGTGCGTATTAGTATTCTGTTGATAATGTATTTTGGTTCAGAATGTTCACTGCAGGATTTTTAGCTCACATCCTTATCTCTGTGATTGTGTGTTTCTCACACAATCTCTATGATTATGTGTTTTTTTCTCTAATAAAAATGTACAACAATAATAATGTAGCAATGAATTTTTACCTGCTGTAGCAAGTCTTGTGTTCTGCTGGATGTTATATTGATGGGTAATGGCTCAAGGCCTGCTCAGTGACTACAGAAACCAGCACTGCTGTTGATGACTTACTGGCCTTTGAACTGGGTCTCAAATGCTCTCCTTTTAAAGCTGACCTTTGGTTGCAGCTGCTTTGGTTTGTAAAAATGTATTGTGAAGAAATACCAGCTTCTTATCTGGTGGCAAAAGATGAAAGTTCTTGTGCTCCTCCTCCTCTGACACCACTCGCTAGTCCACCTCTTGACACCACCCTTCTATACCCAGGAGAGCAGGCAGTATGCCAAAATGCAGCTTCTTAAATCAGAATTTTCATATGTCTGTCTGCCAGATCTGGGTGGTATGTCATCTCTATTTTGAACATTGCAAGTAAAATTTCTTAGGTCTAAACTATAAACCTTGTATATATGACTAGATGTATGATTTAACCCTGAGGCTGCGAGTGCTTGAGTTCACCTACATAATCCTGTAATTTCATTTAACAGGCTAATAAAATCATACCGAATGCTTACTATGTTCTACAAATAGAAGATGTTTCTTGCACCACTTCCATAGGGTGGTTTCTAAGTCTGGATGATTAATTTTCAAGGAACTAGATGGCTCTCATTATCCCAGAAGTCAGTGCTCTGCAGTCATTATGTCCTGTAGAGATCAGTTGGCTTTGGGAAAAGTCTTTAAAAGTATTACTTGATTTCATTCATGTCACTCTTATGGCCACTTGCTGCAACTGCTTTAGCAAATGGATTTCATGTCTCTGAGATACTGACATCAGTGTAATTCATTCCCTCACGTGAATGGCTTCTGGCTAAATTACTAAATTAATGCACAACAATTATAGTTGAATTTTCAGTTCAACAAACCCCCAACAGATATCTGTAGCTGAAAAGTGACTGTGAGAGTTGTGCCTAGCCAGGCACAGTTCAAAACAGCTTGACTGTCAGTTTTCAGTTACACACAATCAGTGGTCTCAAGTGAGATAGAGCAAATGAATTATTCTCAGAAATTATTCCAAGAATAGTTATAGGTAGCTATTAAGTTCAAGAAATTAAAAATCTGATTACAGGCTGTTTGTGAAGAAAGAAGTCAAAATTAGTTTAAGGATATAATTGTTACAGATTGCTTGTTTATCTCTACTGCACTTATGAAATATTTCTACTTGCACTCCAATGTCAACTAAGCTTCTCTCTCAAGGGTAAACTAATATTTTTAAAATAGTAATCCAATATGGAAAATGGCCTGAGCAATAATGTTATAATTAATGCAATAATGAGCTGATTGCCTACTTCTGTTCGTTTTTCAAGAGTCTATATCACACAGTGTCCAAGAAAAAAAGAAGCGAAAGTGACAACAACTGAAAACTAACACAGAGAAAGTGTCACATTTTCTGTTTGGTTCACTGCTGATCGAAGAAGTACAATGTAATAGAATTCAAGAAGTTCTCAAGATTTTCTGGGCAGAGACTGATTCTTGTTATGTCTGCCTGGTACCCAAGAACCGAAGTAGTTTGATCTTGAATTTGGTATCAGGTACCAAAGCCACAGTGCAAACTTTAAATTATAATAGCAGTAAAGCAAAAGTGTGAATAACTCCATCTCTGTTTAATTATGTCTTAGAGGTTGAATTTTTTGGATTTCCACTCCACATAATAGCTGGGAATTGCTGATTATCAGGATGTAACTACTATCTAAGATATTTTGATAATGTTTTAATATGGTATTTACATACTTTTTGAAACTAATGAAAAAGTGAGTTTGAGACTCATAAGTCTGATTTTGCAGTCCTTAACCCCATTTCTTTCAATATGATTGATTACCGTATAAAACTTTCCATGGATGTCTAATAACTGTGTAAGGAAGAAGGCTGTGGAGAATCAGGTTTCTCTCTACAGGCAGTGGAAGCATGCTTTCTTCTTCAGGATCAAAGCTGGAAACCTGTCAGTGTTTTTGGTAAAGATAAGTAGTTTACAGGTTCCACACCATACAATACAGTCAACTTTGTGAAAACAAACTATACTGAGTTTGATAATGCATAAGTGTTTGGAATTATATGTAAATGAGATTAGCGCCTCTTTTGGCAGTTTTAACAGTAGTTATATTTAACAGTACAGTGGATGGTCTTTTCTCAGACCTTATTTTTGCAAATAGAATTTCTCTCTCCTAGGTTTACATATTTAGGACCAAATTTGTTTTATGCTCAGTAGATAAGAAATGAGATATACTGTATTAGCTGTTATTGTCACTGATAACTTTTCCTTCATGTTTTTGAACACTTTCTGGACTTGACTGTCATGTCAGAGTGTTAAAATATATTTCATTTGCTGCACTCTGTTTTTGTTTTGAGTTGGTTACTCAGGATAATAGTGACATGGGTTTCTGAATTTGTTACAGTGTGCCTGAATATTATGACTATGGTCACGGAACAAGTGAAGAGGCTTATGACAGCTACGGTAAGGTCTATTCTACCTTCAGCAAATGTGTGAAATCAAAAGAAAATATCTGTCTCTGACAACTCAGAAATTACTTCCATATACTTTTGTTTCTTACTCTTCTTTTACAAAGATCAAACAAAATAGATTTGTGCAACTTTAGGGTGAATTTTGACTTACTGAAGTAGGACCAAAAAATTGGACTTATCAATTTCAATCAAAATTACAAAGCCAATTACTCACAGTCACAGGTCAGTTTAACAGCAACACTGAAGTTTCTGATTAACGCCTGAATATATTTCACAGTGTTAAATTTCAGTCTGCTTAATGTGCCAACAGTACTATGCATCTGCTGCTGTCATGTGCATCACTTCAATCAGCAAGGTTTGTGAGATTTTGAAATATAGGATTTAATCAAAATGGAAAGAAAGAGAGGGTGCTGTACCACCATGGGAACCTTCACTGTACTGAGATAAGGGAGCATCTCATGCCACACTAGGCAGTATGAGTAGAGTTGTACTCTGCGCTTCCTCACCAAAGTCTGAGCTATGTCTGACCTGAAAAAGTTCCACTTCATGGGAACCAAGGGCATGAAAGGAAACAAAGTGTTGCTTCAATGAGAACAAACCATTTTCTAGGCTACTTGCTATTAGTGATATGCTTTGATAACTGTAGTCCATGTTTTCCTATCAGTAATTATCATTACACTATACCATCAGATCTCACTCTGAATCTCACTCTGAGAGTTTCACCGAAATAATAGAGCAAAGCTGACTACTGACAGCTTGAAGAGTTACCCTAGCATATTCAGCAGACATGTCATGCTTGATTTACTGCTGCTAATAAAGTGTCCTATGTCCACATGGTGACTTCTGAAGCATTGTGAAAATGAGAGCTGCTGGAAATCATGCTGCAAATCAAAGTTACACTAAGGGGTTATGTAAGGGTTGCTGCTTGAAATAATTTTATTCATGCAGCTGTGAAGTAAATGTCACTGTAATGCAAACTTACCGTTCCTTTGTACTGGTATAGAAATAGACAGTACTAAGATGTCAAAATGGTTGCCTTGCATAATCAGAAATTACTTAATTTTTTTGTATAATCAATTCTCTCAATACATTTTAATAACACAATTTGCAGTAAAGCACATTTTCAATGCTAGACAAGTAATAATAATAACTTATCCTTAAGAATGTGAATGGTTTGGTTACCCTTTGTTTTGTTTCCTTTTTGCACATGCATTTTTAATACCTGCAGTGGAATATCTTTCTTCTCCTCTCCACTGCTCTCCTGAATGCATTGCTAAGCTTTTGGGCTGTGCAGAAAAGCATAGTCTGAGCTCAGCAGTAAGAATTACCCGCTGTTTAATGTTAATTACACTCCACCATGCTGAATCTCTATGTGTTTGGGCTAGACATTTAAAGTAGTGTCACTTTCCTTCCAATCCCTCATTTGTAAAACTGGAGGAATATCACTTCTTTTCCCAGCAGGGATTTTGAATGGACTAATTAGCTAAGGCTTACAAAGTGTTCGTACAGTGGCATCATGACTAAATTTATGTTCTGCGTGCAGCTCCTTTTTTTTTTCTTTCCATTCAGCAGCTGAAACAAATTCAAAATGCCTGAGTTTCTTTCCTTTACTAGACTTGTCTTAAAATATGTGGCTGATAGCTGTGGACTTGCTTTGGTTTTCACTTGAACTATTTTCTGAGCTGGCATTTGAGCACAAAGATCTGAAATAGTATTATCGAAAACCTAGAATAAACATGGAATAATATTTCAAATTGAAATTTTGCTACTTTCTGAAAACAGATAAGTTTATATGTAAGTGTTTGTGCTCCTGTTGGTTCCTTTACTTTAGCAGATTAGTAAATTTGCCAGTTCTGTGCTTTGGAGATCTGTGTGTGAACTGCCTTCATCCCAAAGTCACCACCATTTATCTGAGGAGATAACCTGAGTATACGGAGCTATAGAGCTGTAGAATATATGCTTAACTTCCTTACTTTCTGAGTTCTTGGTGCATACACTGATGTTCACTTTGTGTCTGATCGGGGCATGACCCCTTATCATCCTCTCACCTAAATTTACCCTAATTCTCTGTTCCCAGTTTTTACTTGATTTTCGGGATGTTTTGCAGTTCATTGTGAGTCTCCTGAATCCATCCCACTGTATAAAATCAGGTGCCCCTTCATTTTTCACCATCCTGCAGAAATCAGCAGTCTTTCATCTCAGTTCAGTTTCACACCTTGCTTCACCTTCCATAACAAGGCTATATTCCTCCTTTGCAATTCTTTCTGGCATGCCTCTGCAATTGAGAATTTTCCCAAACTGAATAAGACCACACACAAGTGGTACATGAATGTAGAACTGATGTCTTGTTGTCATATCTTAGGGGTTTGGTGTAACAACTTGTCTGTTCACTCTTATCCATTCCAATAACAATATCTGAAGTATCAAAAATTTACAAGTTAAGCATTGCTTTACTTTCTTCCATGCATCCTCTTCTTCCAGTTTATTTTCAGGGAGCTCAGTTCTCAATCCTGAGAAGGTTCTCCTTCATTTTTCATGAAGTAGATTCAACAAATTAGTAACACTACTTCGTACTTACAATCTTTTTAAAGTTTGAAATAGAGCTCTGTGTTACTTGCTAAGCATTATACAGCACCATATGATATGGTACTCCTGTATGCGCTGCCTCATATGACTTTTCTTTCTATCTGTGCTCATGAGACGTAGCAGGTCAGTTTTGTCTCACGGGTTCTTCTGTGCTCCTTTTAAAAGCACTTGTGGAGAATTCTGATTGGGGGAACTGTTTCCACAGAAGCGCATAAAGATTTATGGATTGTTCACAGTATGGTTGGAGAAATCACAGGGGTGTTTCAGAGCAGAGCCCACCTGGACACTGTTTAATCCTCAGGAAGTTCACATCTCTTTTGATCAGATGGAAGTACTAAACAAGAAAGACCCTAAGTCATTTATCTGAGGCTGGGCAAGATGGATTTCTACACACTATTCACCGCTCTAAAATCCACTAAACTGCCTTACAACTTTTTCATTTTCTATTGTGAAGTTTCCTGAGAATTCCATCCCATTCAAATCCAACCATGGAAACCCCCAGGACAATAGCAAAGTCAGCTGACAGGGGTATTTGTAAAATTACACTACTTCCCATGACTTAGGGATGTTCCATGAATGAAAATTCACAGCACAGAACCCTCTCATATAGTTAGACTCTTAAGCTTTATTGTGATTTGACATGGTTGTCACCCAGTCTCTCAGAAGGATCAAAGTAGAGACACTTCAAAGCATGCCTTGCAGCAGTCTCTGGGCACATGGAAATACACTACCAAGGAATTATGAGATTCCTACAAATTTTTTATAGGATCAGGATTATGCAGCTACTGCTAGAGAATTTTGAAGATCACCATTCCTGGCTGAGGAACATAAATTTTGAACGCAAACCTGAAAATCTTCTTGGGGATGTATTCCTTATAGGCTTCCTCATGTGAATTGTAAAGACATATCTTTAGCAGGCACTTTAAAAATAAAAGACCAGTCATTAAAAGTACTGTACAATTTTCAGAAATGTAAATGATCCTCACTGCTAATCACACTCAGTAAACATTTATGATACCTATGTCATCAAAGGTTTTCATATCTGCAGATTTTAAATCTAGGAGTCTAAACTCAGGTGATGGTGTCATGTTAACTTGATGTTTCTGTTTTAAAAGAGAAGGCATGAAATGGGATTAATTTAAGAACAAAAAGGTTTATATTCCTTGCTCTCATTAATAGTTTTTTTGTTTCACTTCTGTCAGTGTTGTCATCTGAGGAGATATCTAGTGAAAACACGAATTTAATGATTTTTCTTATAAATCAAATAGGATATAAGGATTTTTCTTATAAATCAAATAGGATATAATGTACACCTAAAATTTGGTAACTACAAACGTCTCCTTTCCATTTGTAATATCATGCCCAACTCCAAAAAACAGCTTCACTGGACAGGACCGCTGTAAATGAAAAGCCCTTTGTAAACTGTTCACGTTCTCGTTTCTTTCTCCATTTCTCTGTTTTGTTTTTTTTTAGAGGAAACAGAATTCTTCATGAAGTGTTTTGCTCTGTTAGGCCACATTAGAAAGATAACACAGAGAGTATTACTTGCTAGCAAGGCACATCCAATGCCTTAGAAGCTGTATTAATTACATCTGACCTGCCTCACAGTTGTTTCATCTGAACCCATTTTCACCCTTGTACTGATCAGAGCTCTCAAGGCTTTGTTTATCAGCTGCTGTTTCTGGCTTTGTTCTTCCAAAGGCTGAACAGAGGCAGTAAGCTCTGCCTGTGGTTGCTGCAGAAGGTTCAAGAGGCTCCCGTCCCTGCTTCCAGAGCTTGAGACTGCCATAGCAGTGAGGGTGTGCCGGTTATCAGATGCTTTAGTTCAAAGCCTGGTGCTTATCCTGCCTTGTGTGTTACTTGAAAATGATGGCGATTATGTTTTTATGTCAGGTCATGAACTGCAGTATCTGAGAGACCAGTACACACAGACTTCTTGCTGCTGCTACCAAAAAAGCAGAAACCTTAGGTAGAGTGTGAAAGGATAGGGTTAAAGTCTATAACCTCCTAAACCACCACAATTAAATTAGACTAACACCACCTGCCAAAGGCCTTAGGCAAGAGTTAGGAAGGTTAATCTGTAGCTTGCCACCAACACAAAGAGGGAAGACATAAATGAACTCCACTCACATCCCTGCTGCTTTTCAGAAGAAGCTTGCAAGGCTGTTTACTGCATGTGCTGCCATTGCATCAAGGAAAGATTGCTTTGTTTTCTGTCTTCACCAGAAATTTTCAACTGTTCAGATTTTCTCTAATGACCATGTTTTGTGGTGCACATTCTAGTCCAGTTTAGCATTAAGTGCTTGCAAACAACTGGGTATTTGGCTTTAGGATAATTCCATCTTTAATTAAAATTGGAGAGTGTAACTCTTTAGTATAATTCCTTTTAATGTAAGACATCATTTA